GGTGGAACCTGCGAGTGCAGTTTGGGGGGGCAGGGCCAGAGGAACCTGTGACGGGTAGGGAGAGCAAGCGCAACCCACAGGTGGGGTGGGTGGCAGGCATGACCCATGAGTGGGGGGAAGGCAGGCAAAAACCCATGGGTGTGGGCAGGGGGCAGGTGCAACCTGTGAGTGTGGTTTGGGGGGGGGAGGGGACAGAAGCAACCTGTAAAGGATAGGGAGAGCAGGTGCAACCCGTAAGGGATAGGGAGACCAGGTGGGGTGGGGGGCAGGCACGACCCATGAGTGGGGTGTGGGAGAGCAGGCACAGCTCATGTTGTGTAGAGGGAGCAGGCACAATCCATGAAGGTTAGGGGGTCAGGCACAACCTGCGAGGGGTTGGGGGAACAGGCACAACTTGCAGGTGGGGTGGGGGCCAGGCGTGACCCATGGTGAGGTGGGGGCCCCCCCAGTGAACCTACACCTGCATCCCTCCTGCCCCTCCCCCCACCAGGACCTATTTGTTTAGCTCCAGTAGTAGCAAATGCTAAAAAAATGTGGCTGCACTTGGGGCAACTTGTGGGATGGGGCTTGAGAGGACTGGCTGGCAGGGAAGCAAGAGGCCAGGGGGACAAAAAATAGACCAGTGTGGGGAAAGTGGGGATTGAAAAGAGCAACCCCAGGGCTGGGGCCAGTGACTGGGTTTTCCCAGCCCTGGCGCTGTGCAGGGGAAGTGGACAGAAGTTCCATGCACCAATTTGACCTATATCGAATGAGTCTGATACAACATAGATTCAGGTTTATCTGCAGTTTTTAGACTGGCTTGTGTGCATGGAACTTCTGTTCAGTTACAGGTCTAGATTGATTGCCAGTCACTGAGATTGGGTCTGTCAGTGTAAGGTCGGCACCAGGACAAGCTATGTTTAAATCAGGCGGCCATTTAGGAACCTGATTTAACCTTCTGAATGTCTGTACTTAGCCTTAAAGTGATCTAGTGTTTGATCCTGACAACTTCCCCCGGGATAGACCAGCAGCAGTATTTTTATAGAGTTCCAATCAGAAAATGGTCTTGGTTCCAAAGATTTACATAGTTATCCTAATTTTAAAGCTGGGAAAACTCCAGCACAAATTCAGTTTAGGTGATTAGTCTAAAGTTATTTAGTTAGTGCCTGAGCTGACAATCAAAGTCTTGCTCTAACTTCAGGGTATATTGGCTTAGTTACCAATAGGCTCTTAGTTACCAACTGAGCTGAGAGTAGAGTCCAGGCCTCATGACTTACAGTGCTGAGCACAGTATGACAGGCAAAATGTGGAGAAGAACAAAGCTACATTCAAAATGTTGAGCTTGTGTATATTTCTTGTCCCTCAGTGCGGGAAGGCTCTCATTAGACAGAGCCCTCGATCTGACTCGGTATCTCCAACATGAAACCAATAACATAGTACTTCTGAAAGGCTTGGGCTACCTGGAATCAATCTACCATGTGATGGAGAGAAGAAATATTTCCAGTGTCTCAGAACACCTTAAGGTACAATTTTAATTTGGGGGAAAACTTGCAATTGTCTCTAAAAAAAACTGGAATACACAAAGCAGCTTCCCAGTTCCATGTTCAGAAGGTATCCCCCTTTGCTTTCAATAAACAAAAGAAAAGAAAACCCTCATGTCAAATTTTCCAGGCTACAAACACCATACACTACTCTCCCTTTGTTCTCCGTTATTCAGCCTGGTGTCAACACACACAGTAATGAGCCATGACTGTGATTTCCGCTGCTCCTGTTCTTTAAGGCATGCTCCAAGGAGCGCTGCTCTGACTCATGGAGTTGCACCAAGAGTCTGGTGCTACTGAGTGACTGGCATAGCCTCTGGCCTTGCATTCCAACAGCACTGAAGCTTTCTGACTAATGCAAGCAGGAAACTCTCATGGCTCTCCTTCCCCGTGACCAGTCCTTGCCCTCATTCCCACCCTCTGTACATTACGTTCTAGCTTAGGTCAATGTAAACTGTAAGCTCCTTGGGGGCAACACATCAATAATTTCTCTCCCCGCCATATGGGAATGAGACAAAAAGCTTCTCTTCATTTCGCATAAAGATCTGTAACCATGTTGAAAAATGATTGCCAGCTGCCATGTTAAGCAGAACTACACATAATAGATGTTTTTTTAACAGTGTCACAGCTAGAGGCCCACTGTTGTCTGGCCTTGTTACAAAGAACTCATTTATCCAAAAGATGTTCAAAGAGTAGATACCAGAGCAGGGATGTGCTTGACATCTGATTATGAAATACAGTTGTAACAAAGGAATTACAACTGTAGAATTGGTGTAACTATATGTATGGTTACAAAGCAGGAGTGTAGCATGTGGCAGTAGGACTAACTGGGCTATATTCTCTCTGCAGAAGTATATCCTGCGGTATTTTAAGCCGGTGATTGA